AATGACATTTATAACCCAGGAACAAAATGGTGTTACATAGTGTTATCTTCATCCTGTATTATCTTGTGACACAACTGAGTCATACAAGTTTGCCACAGGCTTCCTTCTGTGATCCTCTCCTAAGCTTAAAGATACTGCTTGCTGGTTGCTTAATTGCTGTGTTTTAGGTATAAAGTATTTGAAATTCAGTTCAACAACATTTTACGAGAAGTACTCAGTATCGATGACGTTAAAAGAAACTGTACATCAATGAAACACAAAAAGTAAAATTTCCTGTTTAAATGGACACTTGAAACTTAAGCGTCTTGGACTGTGAGAAGATCCAACCAGTCCATCCTCCAGGAAATAAAGCCCGACTGCTCACTGGAGGGAAGGATACTAGAGACAAAGTTGAAGTACTTTGGCCACATCATGAGGAGACAGCAAAGCCTAGAGAAGACAATTATGCTGGGGAAAGTGTAAGGCAAAAGGAAGAGGGGCCGACCAAGGGCAAGATGGATGGATGGCATCCTTGAAGTGACTGGACTGACCTTGAAGGAGCTGGGGGTGGTGACGGCCGACATGGAGCTCTGGCATGGGCTGGTCCAAAGAGTCGGAGACGACTGAACAAATGAACAACAACATTACCTATAAATTAAAATCAAATAACAGTACTTATTTCTTGGATTTCGCTTCAAGTTGTGATGAAATTATGAGTGTTAATGGTACCGCCATAGCAAGTTTCACTGCTTTTCTCCCTACACTATATTTAGAGCTAGCATTTCATGGGAAAGAGTGCAGCTGGATGCACACATTTTAACGTGAAGCTGTGTCTTTAAAATGGGGAGGTTTCAAATGTGATTCCCTTTGCAATCTGAGTTCATATGGTAATAGAAAAATCCAGTCACTGCTTGCTTCTACTGAACTTACTGCTTTTAAAAACTATGGTCTTGACTGGTCACTCTGCTTATACCAATAGACTAAGGGATGTTTCTGTTCGTGTGGGAAGGTTGATCAACTTTAGTGTCACTTTCCTCCAGAGCTATTTCCTTTTATGTTTCTCTCCTTCTAGTCAGGCATTATATTTATATATTCATTCTCTGATACATTTAACTACTCCAAAAATGCAATATTTCAGTAGTACTATATGTTTAGATGCACTTTTAATTCCTTCATTTTAAGTTAAAGGGGATCAAGATATTCAATACAGTTAGAGCCAAAATGATTCTTTTTCTATCTCATGTCAGTAGAATTGCCTTGCTTTAGGAACCAAAACATAAACATTACTCATCTCTATGTGGCTTTGCATATCATATTCAAGTGGAAATAAGAGTTGCATAGTATTTAACCTTTCTGCTAGTTGAGGAAAATGATCTCAGCTGCTGCCTTCTTTGTGAAGTCTTAAGAGATAAAGTTATAGATTTATTGGCGGCAGTTTAAAAAGTGACAGGGTTTTTGCCTTTTTTGCTTTGTATTTTTTTTAATTAAGTGTATAAATGGCATCGATCAATCAAATCATTTATTTTGGTCATAGACCAGCACAGGAAGTAAAAGTTTCATACGAACTTGGTACGTTTAGTACATTTAAAATATAAATATAAATACTGAAGAACAATAGGGGTGATGGAGCAGAAGGGGAAATAAGGGAAAAACATACAATGCACAGATCTATCAGCAAATTATAGCATCAATGAAGATGATTACTGGATACAGTTAACTTTTTGTACCATACAGAATTTAAAAGTAAAATAATCAAATTAACATAATACAGGTATGCCATTCCACCGAACCCCCCCCCCCCACCACCACCTGTGAAAAAGTGACAGTTTTCAAGCTCATCGGAACTTCATCTAGTTTACTTATGACTGACATTTTCACAGGTCCTAATAACAGTACTGTTTACTCAAGGATTCTTTATCGTAGTTTCCACAGACATCTCCAGTGGTATCAAGTCATTTGGTCATCTATTAAAGAACTATACATATAAATAATTTGGGTACATGCAGAGCAAAGTATCTAGCTTGCAACTGCTTTCCATCTTGTCTTTTTTCATTCTGAGTCCAATGTGAGCTCAGTGTTACTAATAGTGAGCAAATTGTCAGATGACTACAGGAAACATACTGAAACTCACAAAACTCAAAGAGGATATCTTGTTGATAATCTAGGAAGAGAAGCTGCAGGGCGTTCAAGTGTTTAATGAGAGAGCTGCAGGATGCCTATGTAGTAGGTAGGATGAGTGTAGTCAGGAAGAAAGATGTGTGTACACATGCATGATGAATGAATGGGCCACATGATTGCGAGGCTGTACTTGGTGGAGTGCATATTTGTAGGAGAAGTACAAGCTTCTAAGTCAGTGGTTATCAACCTGTGGGTCCCCAGATGTTTTGGCCTTCAACTCCCAGAAATCCTAACAGCTGGTAAACTGGTTGGGATTTCTGGGAATTGTAGGCCAAAACACCTGTGGACCCATAGGTTGAGAATCACTGTTCTAAGTGATCCGGGGGTAGTGTATATGTGATTGAGAGTGGTCAAAAGAAGGAGATTCTTGTTTGTTTCCAGTGATGGATATCCTTCTAGGTCAGGGGTGTAAAACTCATTTTTACCAAGGACCACATCAGCCTTATGTTGCCTTTTTGTAATTATAAGACAGTATAAATGCAACTATATTGCCCTGGCATTGAAAGCCTCACAGTCCACATAAAATTATGTGGTGGGAAATGTACATATGATTGAATAAATTATTTTTAGTGGGAAATAGAATTAGCTTTCTCTGAAATGTATAGTGTATTGGAAAGATGCACTAGATTGAGTGGCATGTTGTAGGGTCAGGCTTAATGTCTTCCTTGCACTCAGATCTATGAACAATTATAATGAAATATACGAAGGTAAATTGCCACCCAGTAATCTTTAATATATGAATTATTTGTCAGTAGTTAAATAATTAATATTAAGTTGGCAGAATTCAGTTATCGTACTGTGCATGTAGAATGCCCCACCCAGAAGCATGCTTGAAGTGGAGTCCGATGTCCTTAGGGTATTAGATTTAGATATTTTATTTATTTCTGCCTTCTGAGAGGTATCTGGTTGACTTTACTATGTTATCTTGTATGGATGGCTTCTTGTTTTTATTGAGGCTTTAAAATATTGAATCTTTAAAAAATTAGAAAAGGTATCTTTTGCCTTATTGTGCACTATACAGGACAGTGTGTGGTTAAAATAAATGAACAATTTTAAGTAGTTGAAATATTAAGCAATCTAACAATAACATATTTAAACAAATTAAAACCTTTTCAGAGTTGGGTAAAATTATTAGATTTGTCTTTTATGTTTTATTTTAACACTACTTTTAATTGCTGTAATCTGCCATGGGAGCTTTCTTAACTGAAGGGTAGCTAGGAAGTATTTTAATAAACATTTGACTACCCAAGTATGTCAGATCTACAGGAGTCTAGATAAGGACTAGATAAAGTACCAGATGTTGCACGCCTTCTCTTTTATTGCTTAGAACTACCATATGTTCATGCCTTACAATATGAAAACAGTTGGGGTAAACGGAAATAGCTAATTAACTACAAATTCTATGCATAATCACAGACTGCCTTTAAATAAACATGAGTATAAAATGTAGAGATAGAATTTAGTATTTTACAAGGAACATTTTCTTATTTGAGTCATTTGTTTTTGCTTGGCAAATGAAGGGATTGATGTGGATATAGCCTATTTTGATTTCATTTGGGGCCTTTGACAAAGTCCCAATGATATTACCACAAAGAAGCTGGTAAAATGTGGCCTAGACAGTGCTACTCTTAGGTGAATTGGCTAATTGGACGAATCCAAAGAATAGTTACCAATGTCTCCTATTCATCCTGGAGAAAAGTGACCAGTGGGGTGCCACAGGGTTCTTTCCCAGGCCCTATGTTCAATGTCTTTATTAATGATTTGGATGATGGAATAGAGGGCATGCATATCAGATTTGCAGATGAGTCCAAATTGGGAGGTATAGCTCCCAATTCTGATCCAGAGGATATGATCACAATCCAAAATGACCTTAACAGATTAGATTGCTGGGTCAAAACTAACAAAATAAATTTCAACAGGGAGAAATGTATGGTAGTACATTTAGGTGGGAAAAAATGAAACACATATATGATGGACGATACATAGCTTGACGGCAGTACATGCAAAAGGAGTTTGGGAATCTTAGGGCCCTTCCACACTGCCATATAACCCAGAATATCAAGGCAGATAATCCACAATATCTACTTTTACCTGGGTTATCTGAGTCCACACTGCCATATTATCCACTTCAATGTGTATTTTCTACAGCTTTGTGGAAGGGGCCTTAGTAGACCATAAAGTGAACATGAGTCAACAGTGTGATGTCACAGCTAGAAAGGCCACTGTGATTCTAGGCCACCTCAGTAGGAGTACAGGCAGTCCCCAGGTTACAATCAGGATAGATCTGTAAGTTTGTTCTTAAGTTTAATTTGTATGGAAGTCAGAACAGATACTTTTTCTAAGTGTAACTCCAGCCAAGAAAAGGTTGGTTTTTAAAGTTTTGGGTAGCATAAGGAAGGGTTAACACCCTTGTAGTATTTGTTTTGCTTTCAGAAAGATTTCACCTCACTTTATGTCCACGTGAAAGCTAGATTTTGATAATTTTGGACTGTTGTGGACTCAAGGATTGGTAATAAAGCTTTAGTGGAGAGACCTTTTTCCTATGATAACTCTCACAGGAGTGAATTTTCCTTCTTAGGGATAGATTTTTTTTCACTTTCTATTGTCTCACCTCAATTTGTTACTAGGAGTTGTATGTAAATTAGATGTTTGTAATAGTCCCGCTCTATTCATCAGACCTCACCTGGAATACTTTGTTCAGAGAAGGTCAACTAAAATCATCAAAGTTTTGGAAACTAAGCCCTGTGAGAAATAACTTAGGGAACTGGGTATGTTTAACTTGGAGAAGAGAAGGCTGAGAGGGGACACAATAGCCATGTTTAACTACGTGAAAGGATGTCACATTGAGGGGACAAACTTGTTTTCTGCTGCTCTGGAGATTAAGACACCAACAATGGCTTCAAATTACAGGAAAAGAGATTCTACCTAAACATTGGAAGAACTTCCTGCCCATACGTGCTGTTTGACATTGGGATATGCTGCCTTGTAAGGTGGTGAAGGTCTCCTTCTCTGGAGGTTTTTAAGGAAGGGCTGGATAGCTATCTGTCAGAAGTGCTTTGATTCCTTGTTCCTGAATGGTCCTTGTTGTCTCTTTCAACTTGTTGTCTGTTGATCAAGTTTATTTTTATTCTCTGTGTTATTACTTCTTAATCTGCAAGTATGATAAACAGAATATTAGTGCTATTAAAGAAAAAAGAACTCTTGTGTCTGGATTTGGTGATGAAATGAGCCAATTTTATGCATTTTGATACAGCTGTGCATATTGACTTGCATATTGGCAGCATGAAAAATCAGGTTCAATCACTATCCTGTCTAATAAATAAAGCTTTTTTTTTATTAGAATGGAGGTTTAAACAGGATCAATTTTAATTGGGTTTTATTGCTTTTACCAGTAAGAGCAGATACTAGGATGCTTTAGTGGTACTATATGGTTTAATTGTGGTAATGTTTTATACTTGTATGGGTGGTTGTGAGCTATAATTAATATGTTTTATTGGGATTATTGACTCTATGCTTTGTGATTTGTCCTTTTGATCTGTTATCTTTGATTTTACCTTTTGGATTGTAAATATGATTGATGCTATGTTATAAGCCACCCTTAGTCCCCGAGGGGAGAGGGAGCAAGATATAAATACATTTTTAAATATTATTATTATTATTATTATTATTATTAGCTGAGTTGATGTCTAGGCAAATTAGAAATGAGTAGTTTAATAGCAGTGTTGTTGTAAAATAATGAAATAACATTTCCTAGTTTAATTAGATGTCATTTTGTGATCCTCCTGGACATACACCCAACTGTAGATAGAACTAGAAATGAATGTTAACTTCTCCAGCCTAGCTATTTTGTGTGGCACTCACAATTAGTTCTATTTTTAGCATTTGGGAAGCATGGCTTTTGTGATTAAGTTTCATGTTACTCTGTGACTATATACATTTAAAAATATATCTGTCCAGTACTTGGACAAGCAGTAGTCAAAATAAGTCAGTCAATGAAACAAGTAAAAACCCATACAAAATGGAATCAAAAGATAAAGCCGCACCAGAAATCATTATTAAAGTGCTTAAGCACAGTTTTAAATACTGTAATATTCATTAGAGCACAATTGAGGAGTGATTGAGATAAATGTTGCAGTGCAGGAAGTTTCAAAGTAAGGGTGTTCTCACCTACTATGTCTCCTGAAGTGCAATGAGTAGTTACAACAACAACAACAACGCTGATTGCATTATAAGGGGAAGGCTCCAATCAAAAGCTTCTTCTGCTTTTACCAGCAGCACAGCAAAAGGCTGCCTGTGATGTTGATCAGGTCTCAGACAACAAGCTCATAACATGGATGTTCATTATTTGTGATAAGAAACACTTTATTTCATTTTTTTCAATTACTAGTGGACATTTGGCCTGCTTTTATACCTGCATCCTCTAGGCCAGGCCATAGTCTGCTGTAAAGTATTATTATATGTTCAGAATTTGATTTTTATAATTTGACTTGATTGATCTCAATGAGAAAGTACATTTGACCCCAGCACTTACAGTTTAACAGTCTTCATATTCCATGGTTATTGCATTTTGTTTTTCAAAATAAAATGTTTAGTTCGTGCCATTTATATTGCACTTCTGCTTGAATCTTTTGCTGTCAGTAATCAGTGTTAAGTTGGGATAATAATAATTGTTTTTCCTCTACTGTATTTTCTTACTTGACTTGTGTATGGTATATAACCTTTTTCTGTGTTAGTGATGATAGTGATTTAAAAAAATAAATTAGATTTTAGTAGCCTTGCTGATATCGTCTAAACCAGTGTTTCTCAAACTGTGCTCCTCCAGATGTTTTGGACTTCAGCTCCCAGAAATCCCAGCCAGTTTACCAGCTGTAGGAATTGTGGAAGTCCAAAACATCTGGAGGAGCATAGTTTGAGGAACTCCATTCTGAGCTATCATCTGAATCCTACAGTTGGTCTTGAGTAGAGCTGAGCCACTGAATTTGCTTATGTGTAGACTCGCCAAGGGTTTGGTGGAGTTATTCTAGTTGGGCCTAACCACAGATTTCAGATTATATAGAAAGGACCAGGGCAAACCTTTGGGCGTTTACCAAGCCTGTTTGGACCTGTCTGTCTTGGGCACTGCATATTTACACCGATGGCTTACTCTGAAAGCTTACTCTGAAAGGAGGCAGGAGGAAGACTTGCACTATCGAGGAATGTTCTATTAAAAGAGCAGTTTTCAAAGAACTATGCATGTTAGTCTCTTACAGCATAAAAAGAGGAAGAAGGGGGAAGCATATAAAGAAATATGGAAATACATTTAAGACAGTCTGGTGTGTATTTTCCCCATGAGTTTTCGTATATATAAACCTACATTTTTGGATACAATACAAATACTCAGGTAAAACATATGCTATAGTAGAATGTAACACCATGCATAGGGCTACCATGTTTTCAATTGTTTTTTTTCTTTTCAAAAAAAGAATGTTTATCTTGTTAAACTATTTGTGCATTTTAGGTTCTTGTGGTGATACTTCCCACGGAAACTGGAATTATTTTGTGAAAATATATTTTAGTATGTTGCTCAAATCAGTTCAAATTGAAGACCAAAGGTTGGTATTCTTCTCAGTTTTAATGGATCTTGTAGAAAGACCTTATGTAAATATATTTGTGATCTTGACTGCCTGAAACAAATCAAGATACAGGAATGCATTCCCTGCAGTGATGTAACTTGCCTTTTTAAAAAACAAAAACAGTTGGGAGGTGCGGGAAAGAATTTGAGTTAATGATAATCTTTCTGTGTGGCATGTCTCGATCTGGTCTCTTATTATGCCGTCAATGTATGAAAAGTTTCAGATCCAAACATGCCAAGTATATTGCAAAACCAATTCCCTGAATTTAAAATCAGTTGATTCTAGACAGTCTGTGCTAGAAAATTACTGGATATGGTATTGAACCATCTTTTTACCACCTTATTACACTATATGTCTTAAAGGTTTTTTTTCCATGTAAGATAGCTAGATTATCCCTTTTTTTCTTTTGAAGTGTTGTGTTGCCTTAAACCAAAAGCTAGTCATCTGGTATTCTGTCCTGATGGTGCCCAACTAAAGGCCTATGGGAAGGCCACAAGCAAGAGATGAACCAGAGCAGACTGCTGCATTCAGATTCCTCAAATGGTATTAAGAGGCATACTGCTAATGATAACCGGAGCTTATTGAAATCATCCCCATTACAATTAATAGCTTTCTTCTCCCTTTAATAAATCTTGCATGTTGTAATCTGGCTCATTAATTCACTCTCTTGATCATTTTAATTGTCCCTTTCTTCACCTTCATCACTTCTTACATTGCCCTTTTTGAGCTTCATGGACCAGAATTGTGCAACGTGTTCCAAGTGCAGTTGTAGTGTTGTACTATTTTGCTTGTCTGTTATGAACATACCATATTGTTTTGGAAGTGCACATTTTACAAATACTATGCTGGTGTTATTTTTTTTCCAATAGAGAGCAGGGATTCCCCGAAGTACAAGGGCAAAAGACCACTATACACCAAAAAGTAATATAGTTATATAATCATAAGAATGCATATCATATCTATGCTCATAGTACTATTACATTAAATGTAGTAACAGCTTGTACAAAATATACTTAACAGAAATTCACAATGCAATTCTCTAAACCAAAACATTTCCTTATGTGGGATGAACAACTGGTTCTTACAAGTTATTTTTTTCCATCCTAAAATATGTCTTCATCTTTCTAAAATAGTCCTGTGATCTCATAATAGAGCGTCTTGAAAGGGTTTTGCTAATGAGTAAGCATGTATAATATTGACCTGTTACAAACTTGTTTAAAATCTTCCAGTGCCCTGTAATTAACTTTCCTTTATCTGTGATATTTTGGAGGTATGGGGGCTGTGTGGGGCATGCATGACTTAAAAGGGTTTTGGCAACAGTTGAAAACCATAACGTGGACCAGAACGCATGTCAGGAATTGCATAATTCCATAAGATCATGAGAATGTAATATTTTTTTTCAGCAAATACTGCCACTGGGGGGAAAACGTAACAGTGTAACACATTGTACAGATTGAAAACCATTCTGTTCCTTTAAGAGCATAAAATAATTACATATAATTTGGATACAAAAGTTGAAGATCTGATTTATTCACAAAATAATTACAAACTGAAATTGCTTCTAAAAATAGTATTGTTATGAATGGAGGTACAAGATCCTGAACTTTAAGGAAATTGGAACTATAAGAAACCTCTCTTCTTTTGCCAGTTTATGAGGAACTAGGGGAAGGGGGACCCCCCCCCCCCCAAGAAGAAACCATTAATATTAGTGAAAATTATTCGCTTTTGTCTAGTCATCCATAATACCAGGCAGACAGAAAGCACTGGTTCCCACAAAACGAATGTAGAAAAGAAAAATATAGTGACTGTTTTTTTAAAAAAATACAATTTGAAGTACTTACATGAAACTTCATTCTGTGATCCATTTTTTTTCAAAATAAAGGAAGGTTTAGAATGCCCCCTCCCCTCCAAAAAAGCTGCCCCCATTTTTCCTGCTTTTTCTGGGTCTTTACATTTCTAGTTATGAGAGGCAATTTAGGTCCACCTATGGTGTCTGCTCTGTGAAATTACGTCCATGTTAAATGGCCAGTTCTATCGCTCCTGGAGCATCGGGTGGCAGCTGTGTCAAAGGATTCCTTTCTGTTTTGTGTCATTTGTGCCCTTTCCTTGATTGTGCAGCGTTGGATGCCGTCACACATGTATCATTTGTTATTTTATCCCGAATGTGGAACAATATTTTCTCTACAGGCCTATTGCTGTAGAAAACCTCATGCTATAAATAGATATTTTAGATCACATGGGCAGGCCTGTTTGATCCTTTCTACAGTGGTCAATACTAGATGTTTGAATGACTTTAGAATTGGAAGTGTGTAAACTTTCCAAAGGGTGGAATATTTTTAAATGAAAGCATGCCCTATCTAGATTTAGAGTTGCTGTATGTCAGTGTAGGCCTCTACATGAGGTTAACAGTAGGTTAAATGTTTTTGAATATTTACGTAAAACTGTAATTTAAGACAAGACTGTCCAACTCTGATTAAACCATTATTCTAACCTTCTTCAATGTAAATGTGCTTACGTATCCTTCCAATATTAATAGAGTAAAATATTAAATGCAATAATAATAACAATAATGAAGTAAAATAATGGAAATGTAATAATAGCAATAATAATAGAGTAAAATAATACGTGTAATAATAGTAATAGAGTAAAATAATATATGTAATTAAATAATAATATAGTAAAATAATGTAAATATAATAATAACAGAGTAAAATAATAAATAACTTTGACTCGTATAAGGTGAGGGGGGCTTTTTCAGCCTGAAAAAGGGCTTAAAACCTGGCTTATACTCGAGTATATGTGGTGTTTCTGAAGCACTGAAAGAGTCGTTCATACATTGTGCTGAACTAGTTTAGTGAACTGTGGCTTTGAAGTTCCAAAAAATAAGACAGGTGGATCATAGTTCATAATCATTGCTGTGCATTCAGCTTCATGAAGGCAACACTATGGATGTAATACATTTTGCCCATGGTTTCTGTTACTTGCTTGCATCCAGTTACAAACTGGTTGGCCAGTTCAGACACCATTCGTCAGTGGGTGAGTCATTAAAGTTGCTACAAAGGGAGCAAATACCTGGCTGTACTCTTCAGTTGCAAATGTGTTGATTAGCTGGTATGATCACATGTGTGTTAAAGAATACTACTTTCTTGATTGTCAAATGTTGTCAGTCACTGTCAGTTTACACTGTTAACTGTACAAACCTGACTAATGTAGTAGTTTCATCCCCTTGTTTCCATAGAGTATCCTGATGTCTTGTTAAGCCATAGCTTAAGAAGTACGACAAGTACACCCGGATCTTCAGAAGGTAGCACACACCCTGAGTATATAGCTTTTTTGCTGATTCCTGTCTTCTTCCTAATGGGTCTCCTGGGGATTTTGATCTGTCATATACTAAAGAAGAAAGGATATCGTTGTACAACAGAAGCTGAGCAAGAAGCAGAGAAACTTCAAGAAAAGATCGGTAGGCAAGAAGGATCTTAAAAAGAATTCACTTCTATTTTGATAATGAGCATGTAAGAAAGCAGATATTAGCATCATTTTGTGTTCTGTCATGTTCAGATTGTTGGGACTATGGGGAGGCTAGATTCATATCTGCTGTCAAGCTTCAAAATAGACTTTGTTTCAGTGCAAAAATTTCTCAAGCTTAAAATAACCGCTTATCTATTATCCTGACCACTAAGCAGAGATACAGGCAGAAAAAGTTGCAGATCTGATAAGGAAACTCAGTGAATGATTCCTATTGGCTTTTGTTTTTCATCTACTGGGTTAGTATGTTCAACTAGAATTGAAGTGGCTCTCTTTGATCCCCACTTTGCTGTGAAATTATTCCCAGACTGGTCACATACATGGCAGGATGGTTAAGGAGGTAAAAAAAGATCAAGTTAAAAACAAGTCTGCCAGGAGTACTTTAATTTTTGCTTTTACTGCATGGCAGGGGGTTGGAATAAATGGCTCGTGTGTTCTCTTCCAACTCTATTATTGTATGATTCTCAGTGAAGCACTCTTCATGTCCCTTGGAGAAAAAGGTTTGAAAAGTATACATATAGAACACATAGCTAGAGCAGCCAGATGCAAAATATATAGGTTTTTCCAGTCAATGTGTAGAAAAGGAGTAGTTGTGTGTGAAATCAACTGGCTGTTCTGTCACTGTGGGAAATACTTTTGGATTCAGGAAAATCCCAGGTCCAAAAAAACCCCCAAAAACCAAAAAACAAAAACATAACAGTAGATTTTTTTACGTTCTTTCTTGGAATATAAGCATATGAAAAGTTCCCCACAATCAAGTTTCCCTAGCCTCAAAGAAACTGGTGACGGTAAACATCCTTTTGGGGTGTGTGTATGTGTGTGTGGTGCAAACACAGTGAAATGAAGAGTGCAGTATCTACAACTTAATTCTGATTCCTTAATGTTAAAAATGGTTACAACATCCCCATGCTTGACGTAATTGTGTATGTTTTGTATCAGGCACTAGTTACCATCATATTTTGGACTACATAGGGGCTCCTGGCTTAGAGTTGGAGGTGGTAAAGTTTTATTGCAGGGAGAGACTGATGTTAACATGAAGAGCAAGCAGGTCTATTTGCACTGCTGTGTTGCAACTATCACATCGTAGCTAAGTACTGTGGGTCTCTGTCAAATGCAGCTTGGCTCCCAAGTAAAGATCTTTACTGGTTCCTTAGTACAGTCAGATCAGGGTTAAGCAGAAAGAGGTTTGGCCCAAAAGCTGTTGCCAAGAATTTATTTTCCTCAGGCTTGAATGCTATTTCAGAAATGAGAAAGCAAAATCTAAGTGCAAGTCAGGGTTAGGAGTGTTATGATCTCAGAGCCTCCTGACCTTCAACTGTTATCTTGCTTACTTGGACAAAGAAGAGAAATGGGTGTGTGCAGCATCAGCCTCTACAATTTGGTGGGTTGTCTGAACTTTGTGGATCTATCAGGTCTTGGGATAACATAACTGTTTCTCTAATTAGACTTTATCCATCAACCTTTTTAAAGAGCCCAGGCCTCCTTTCTTTCTTCAGTGATCGATCCTGGGGTGGAGACACTGACTTTGTTTATGTCTGCTATGAGCTATCTCTTAAAGGCTTACTACAGAGAGGGATGCACATCAGAGACTGCCTGCTTGTTGTATTTGTTTATTTAAATCTGCAAGTAGGAATTCAGTCTCGAATTTGTATCCCTTACGAATGTTTTTTGTATTAATAGAGGAAATTACTTTCATTTTAATGCCATTTATATTTTTGTGGAATTTTATTGTCATATAACTTGTTTCCTGCGTATTTTCTAACTTTCAGTTATAGAAGAATGATGTTGAATTTTTTGTTTATATTTTCAGAACTGAATGAAAGTACAAATGATAATGGTGACACTGTGGGGCAAATCGTTGACTACATTATGAGAAATGAAGGTACTTTAGCTTTTTAAAGATGAACATATTGATCTGGTGGTTAGACTTTTGACTCCTTTTGGTTCTTGTTGAATTATATTGAAAACCTTCAGACATTTAAAGCTCTTAATTCATGACATGCCTCATATTATGCACTTGAATGTACGAGAACAGAACTTGCATTGGCAAATTCACTGGGCTCTCTGAATTTGCATTTGTACAGATAGTAAATGAGCAACTCTGAAGAGTATGTGTGGAAGAATATATGGGAGAATGTATAGGAACTTCAGGTCTGATGCACTAATCACAAATTTAGAATAAATTGTATTTTCATGACTTACTCCAGAGAAGTGTAGATAGGATTGAACCTAGAGAGATTTTCTATCCAAACTTCAGCCAGCTTTTGGGTCATGGTTCATAAGTTTGCTTCTGGCTGACTTGTTTTGGTATTTATGTGTATAAGGAATACCCTGAAAGTGTAAACTATTTTTTATCTCTTTTACAGCTAATGCTGATGTGTTGAAGGCCATGGTGGCAGACAACTCTGTATTTGACCCAGAAAGGTAAAAAAAATAATCACGTATCTCTTTCCCAATTAGCTTCAAAGAGTATTGTGTAAAGCACATTTACTGTTTGATAAAATTACTCGGAGAAGCTGTTTTCTGAATCTATTGTGTGGATGGATTTGTGCTGGTGGTGTCACAAATCCTATCTGCTTTTAAATGGGTATTCTATAACAATGGCTTTTTATTTCTTTTTTTTTCAAATTAGTACTAAAAACCCTCCCTCAAATAAACATTTACATGACTAAAAGTACATGTGGTTTTATAAATGTATGAATAGGGTGTGTGGGAAGAGATGAGTGGGATGGGACTTGACATGGCATTCTCTTCACTAATACAAATGTTTTCAATTTAGTCTGCTAAAGAAGAAACTGGCCTTATTTTCAAAATAAGGAAAATGTGGATGTAATTTGTTTTTAAAAGCTACTTCTATATTCATTCACTCAATTTCTTTAGCAGGTGTAGATTCAAAAGATTAATCCAAAGATTTTTTTATAAAGGTAGAATGTATAAGAAGGAACAGGGTGGAAACTACAGAAGGGCAATAGCTCTCATCTCTGTAAAATTCTTGGTTTTGTTTTGTTTTCTTCTATCCTAAATAATAGCCCAACTAGTCCAGGGAGTCCAACTACTCCAGGAAGCCCTACAACTCCCGTTTCTCCTGTCTCACCTGGAGGGTCGAAGCATACCTGTCGAGGCCGGCATTTGCATACTGTTGGTGGAATTGCAGGGACAGGTGCTTGTACTCGCTGCAATCAGAAAAGATGGCATCTTTTTAGTCCCTCAAAGAAACCTAAAGAAGTAAGAAGAGGCCGGCATGGAGAAGTCACTGTGCTGTCTGTGGGAAGGTGCGTTTATTTGGTTTCACTATCAGTAGCCCATTGCACTGACATTTCTGTATTCAGCTTCCTTGTATACTGTACGTTGTGTTTATATTGTGTATTTTGATAAGGTCAATTGGCTGATCAATAAAAAAGTTTGTTCAATATTCAGCTTCTCTTTAAACAGACGGTGAAAAGGTGTTGAAAAGGTAACTGGTATGCTCTATCCTGGTGGGTAAAAGGATCCATAATTGAGTGCATGTATTGTTGGTTATCAGTAGTCAGCGTTATTAAGGAATAAAAGATTTCACTTTTCAATCTTGTTTGATTTCTTTTCCAAAATGGTACTGTCATCTTGGGTTTCTTTAGCACACATGCTTGAAGTTTTATTGAATCATTGTGAAAACCTAGTTTAAGTTAAACACCGTATAAAACAACATTTCCTTTTTTCAGCTATCCTTTTCCTTGCAATACAGACCAGAGCTAAACAGGGTTTGTTGTTCCTCCTTTCTTCTGTAAAGCTAACAAGGGATGGGAGAATCACAAATTGAATTCTGTGACTGGAAAGCTCAGCAGGCAGTAAGAAGATACATACAAATGTTTCATGATAGGGCAGAGGATTCGAAACATACCCTCTTATCATATATCACATTTTTGTTATTTTTAAAAAAAATCATATTAGAACCTGATTTTTGTTGACAAAGAACTACTTAGATTAAATATGCCTCTTTCTTCAAAGGGGTGTGTGAGAAGATTCAAGCCTATTAATAACTTGTGATTCTCCTTCCCCCAGATTTAGAGTCACAAAGGTGGAACATAAATCTGCTTCAAAGGAGCGCCGAAACTTGGTGTCTGTTAGCAGTGGAGAAGGTGTTAGTGGTGGAACAGCAGCGACTCCTGTCAAAGAATGCCCTAAAGGAGTGACAGTTACACCTGCTGGGAAACAGGGATCCAAAGAACTGCGTTTTACTCCTCCCCAGCAAGAACAGAGAGCTAGATCTGGTTCAGAATAACAGGTGGGCATGATAAAGACCCAAAATGGGTTCAGTATGGTGTTGATTTTAAATCAGAGTTGGAAACCACCTTCAGATTGAAGGTTCTTTTCAGGGTTGGATTACTTATTGGGGGCTGCCACAAATCCTGTCAAGCCACAAGGAGGGGTAGGTGTTACATGTATAATAATAATAATAATAATAATAGTAATAATAATAATAATAATAATAATAATAACAACAATAACAACAACAACAACATCAAAACTATGTCTCCACAGCTTAAATATATGAAATTGTAAAATTACTTACTTTTATTTCCTAAAACAAATAATCAAAATGCCAAGTTGCTTTATTTCTATACCGCATTTTTCAGCCCTTGACAGGCGACTCAATGCGGTTTACATGGTACAATTATCAAACAGTGTCAGTGCAATTAAAACATAACAATGCAACAAACAGGATCAACAGCATCAATCCACAACAATTAACAATCAACAAGACAGATCAACAAGACAAACATAACATAACGCCTCAGTTGAAATCAGATCCGTTCTCATAATCCATGTGCCATTCCTATGTTCCATTTACCGTCTTCCTATGATTTGTTGCACTGCTTAACCAAACGCTTGTTCATAAAGCCAGGTCTTAACCATTCTCCGAAACGTCAGCAGCGAACACTATCACCTCCATTTCTAGAGATATTCCTGGATTTCATGTGGATACATTAAGCCACTGTTAATAGTGAACCCTATAATCTTCTGGACAAAGAATACCATAGAGTTGTGCTAGAAGATCTAGAAAATGCCTGGCAAGGACATTTGTTATCACATTTGGAGAAATAAAACTATGGATACTAGTTTTGCAAATGTGGGCTTGAACCATACATCTACATTTGTGTTCTTATAATTTTCAGTTGTCATCACTAAGAGAAGCGGAACCAGTAGTAACTGTTTAGAGCAGTGGTTCTCAACCTGTTGGTTCCCAGATGTTTTGGCCTTCAACTCCCAGAAATACTAACAGCTGGTAAGCTGGCTGGGATTTCTGGGAGTTGTAGACCAAAAGACCTGGGGACCCACAGGTTGTGAACTACTGGTCTAGAGGATGTTCTGGGTTTCTCTTTCTTTCTTTTTTGTAAAGGGCTGAAGCTATAGAATCTCTGCTATTTAGAGCAGAGCGAAGTTTTCCACTTGAGACCCTTTTTGACCTGAGATGTTTTTATATGACCCCAAGTATATAGGTGTATAAAATAGATCTAAAAACCAAACATTTACTGATAACAAATCAGCATTTGCAAGACTTGCTGAACACACTGATTTTCTTTTATATGAAGTATAGCCAAAGTGTCTTCTGTATAGTCTAGTGTAAACACTGCACAGCAGATTCGTGTAAATGTCTGAAACAGCCAGTAGATGACAAGAGGCTGTTGTGCCAGCATCAATGTTTGTAGTGGGGTTAAGTGGAGTCGGGGATGGAGCAGCAGGTGTGTGGAATTGTTCTTCCTCTTGTTGACCTGGAAAAAAAATAAATAGTGATACTGTACAGTGATTGTAAACCCTTGAAAGGAAAATTGGACTGTGGGTGGGCCTACAAATAGTGGATTGAAGTTCTTATGATCCTTCCTTTATGGCTTTGCTGGTGAGGGCTGATTGGACTGTCACCAAATAATTGCCTTCTGCTCCAAACATGGCCATTCTGTGGGGAGATCCATCCAGATGCCTGGAGCATGTTGCACCTGGCATTTGCAGAGACCTCTGGGACCATTGCGAAATCTATGTGCATGATATTCTTACACTGTGTTGAGTTGCAAGACAGTAACTGGATGCATCTCCATTCATTACAAGGTGATTTGTGGGGTGGGATTTTGATCACTGTGTGTCCTAAATTTTGACTTTTGTAGTGACTTGTAAAAATAAGTTATGATGGCATTAAGTCCAATTCAAGCTATTGTATTTCCCTAAAAAGATGCCACATAGTTTATTAATTTGCATATTCTCCATATGTTCTTCTTTTGTCTTTATGTTCAGTGTGTATGGATATAGGTAATGTTCCTTGAATGAATAAACATTCTCTAGAACACAGGAGTGTCAAACTCATTAACATTGAGGGCCACGTCAGCCTTATGGTTGCCTTGAAAGGGCCGTTGAATCCATGGATGGAGAATCTGTGGATATGAGGGCCAGCTGTAATGATTTTACATAGTGGTCAGTGTTTTTTACTTTTTACTCCAGTTGTTATTGTGTGACAATTCCCATCACTTTTTATTACTTGCCATGCAGACTGGGGATAATGGAAATTGCAACCTAACAGCACTTGTGGCTCTGTGGTTGGAGAAAGGTTAAATGACATTTTAAAATGAAACCTAATATCCACAAGTCTTGTATCTATATTTAAGCCCCACTATCCTGACTCAACAGAACAAACTACAGCCTTGCAGATGTTACTGTATCACAACTCCCATCAGCTCTAGTCATGATATCCACTGATGAGGAATACAAGAGTTGTAGTGTAGCATCGGGAGGGCTACATAAAATAACTTGGTGGGCCAGATTTGGCCTGTAGGCCTTGAGTCATGTGTGCTAGTATATAGATACTTTGTATAATGATAAAGATTATCACACCAGCTTTAATATTAATACTAAAGTATTGCTGTATATTGAAAACATACCATTTGCAACGTCTACTAATATGTCTGTTTTTCTCTCTCTTCCATCACAGATAGAGGCTTTTGGAAAAAGCATAGACAATGTATTTGAAAAAATGCAAACCTTGGACACTAATATCTCACCAAAGACTTATTTGGGAATGTACTCCTGCTGTGCATTGCTTACATGATTGAATTTTTGTGGGGTTGCATTCCAGATATTTAACTTTTTTTAAGTAACTGAAAACATAATGATATTTTAGCTATTGAATTACTGTGTTATATGGTCAGCAGTTTTATATTTAAATACTAATACATTTCCACTTTTAATAAGGGGGGATTTAATGATTTTCTTTTTGAATGGAAAAAACAAAGGTCAGGTTGCCAAAATATTATTGCATTATGTTGTATTACATTTTCCTAGAGGACTGATGTTTGTTATATTGCCCCCTTTTGGGAACGAATTGGAGGAGACCAAAGCTTTGAACTATATTTTGGACTTAACTTATTGTTATAGTAACAGTGATTGGTAAATTAAGCACTACTTAATTATATTTCTTCTGTATACTTTCCATAGTTATTATTTTTGGGTTCAAAGCAATCTATGCAGCCTATAGCAGAGTATACACAGTACATTCATGGTTGCTAAAGTATGAAATACTGATGCAATCTCAAAGCAACCTATTCAGCTTTGCTGACTTGTCGATGAGTAACTATGGAACTAATTTATGATTTTGTTTTTGTGTGTTTGCATGTGTTGATCTGAGCTTCTTAATTTTGGGGACTGATAATTCCTCCAGATGAATTGTGAAGACAACCTTCCTTCTAAATTCTCCGACATATTGCAACCTTTGGAGAATTTCAAAAGTTAGTGTTAATTATGAGCTCAAGATGCATGTGAGAAATTTTTCTTCATTACTGGATTGCTGTGAGTTTTCTGGGCTGTATAGCCATGTTCCAGAAACATTGTCTACTGACGTTTTGCCCACATCGACGGCAGGCATCCTTCTGGAACATGGCCATACAGTCCGGAAAACTCATAACAACCCAGTGATTTTGGCCAAGAATGCCTTCGATAAGCCACTGTTCATAACATTATGTTCCCATGAGCCAAGAGATTATGAGCTATGCTAGAGCCAGTTGACTTCCAGTATAACTCTTTTGTATATTTAATACATCTTTGTATTTTCAATTTAGCAGAAATTAACGACTTGAGCATGTGGAAATTTGGTTAAAGTATGGGAAATTGGCAACGTGTTTTTCGTAAAAGATGCTTGAAGAAATCTTTAAATGACAAGTTTTGAAAATGATGAATCTGGCCAAAATCCCTCTTACTTAACAAGTTTGAAATATAAAATCAGTGTTTTTCATTTAGTGCAAATTGTGTGGGCCTTGAAACCAGAAACTTTATCAGAATGTCAATCTATTTTAGACATAGTTCATTGCTTGCTTGATGAGAGAAAATATATTCCAGAACCTCACATGAAAAAGAGTACATCTTGATGTGATATCTATTTTTCCTTGGCAGAACAGCAGCGAAGCATTCTGTGACACTAAGTATATTTGGTCCTCATTGATGTGCTTTGGGCACTTTTGTTTAGTAATTTTTCTAAATACCTTTGTTGTACTTCTGCAAAGCAGATTCCCAGCAGCCTCTAAATACTACACCTTTGTGGGTAGATATTACCATTTTATTTATGTAATTCTGAACTTTGTATCTAGAAGATATGATGACTTAGTCACAGTTAACTTCCTTTGTTGATTTCAGTGAGACTTAAGCCCAAGTCCTACACATGCATATTTGATCCCCGATTGACTAGAGCAGTGGTTCTCAACCTGTGGGTCCCCAGATGTTTTGGCCTTCAACTCCCAGAAATCCTAACAGCTGGTAAGCTGGCTGGGAGTTTACAAAAAACCTGGGGACCCACAGGTTGAGAACCACTGGACTAGAACTATATAATTGACTTGAAAAACCCCATGTTAGACATATTACAGGATTTTTTACCATTGTGAAATGCATTTTAAAGATACAAGGGGAACTGGAAACACTATTATCCCTAGAAAGCACTGCTTCTGTGACAGAGGCCAACAATTAATCATGAATCTTTTATCATGCTTTTGTGCTACACAAAGCATAATGGATGTAAAAGCTACAATTCCTACTCTAGAGGCCAGTCTTTGTGTGTAAAGTTTATTTTGGTGCAATCCTGACTGTACAATGGAATTTGTCAGTGGATGAAACGTTGTTTGAAGCAAATGATATATCCATCATTCCAGGACCTCCTTGCAAAATCCATGATCACCTAGATCAAACTGCACTGACCATCTGTTCGAGCAGCTTTCATGCATAAATCATGTATATACCTTTTTATCCTGTTGTCAGAGCAGATTGTGCAGATTGTTCATATGCCTCAGATGAGTGTAGCATGGTCTTCTTATAACACAAACTACTGTATCATGATTGTATGACGTGTGACTTGCCATAGTAAAGGAAAAATTCCCTTTTTACAAGCATGTGCATTAAATGTATTTTAACAATACGGTTTGTATGAATATTTTGTACAACTTAAAAAATAAAAATGACAAACCCCTTTTTAAATGGTCTGCTGTATTGTTTTCTTTCAAGCCAGATGTCATACTCTTCACATTATAAAATGTTGAAAGTCTGGAAAGGAGATCTGGTCCATCATCAAATTGGATGAGACACCTTTCCTTAGGGCAGGCAAGGCATAATGCACGGGACATTCATGCATTTGAGTTCTCTTTCCAAAATAATAAAGGGCCTAAAAGAGTTGTGAGAATGCTTTGTTGTTAAGACAGAAAATGTGTGTGAATAATGGGGGTGTTTGTTTGTTTGTTTATTTACTACATTTATATACCGCTTTTCTTACCCTGGGGGGACTCAAAGCGGTTTCCAACAGATTCATGGCAAAACCTAACATAAAACAACAGTAACATACAACTATCAATTAAATCTTAAAACATAACTACATTAAAACATTAAAACAAGGGGTTAAAAACATCAATATGTACATTAAAATCACATGATTGAAAAGCATGGTCCAAGACGTTCAAGTATCAAATAAAAATTGCACATAATCTGTGTTCGTTTCTTGTCCTGCTGACTGCCCAAATGCTTGGTTCCATAGCTATGTTTCTGCTTTTTTTTTCCCCTGTTGGGAAGGGCACTCCATAGACAAGGCACCACTACAAAGAAGGCCCTTTCTCTTGTCCACACCAGTCGTGCCTGCAAAGGAGGTAGGACCGAGCGCAGTGCTTTCCCAGATGGTCTTAACCTCCGAGATAGATCATATATAGAGGGACATACGTTTGGGCAGATAAGCTGGGCCGGAACTCTTTAGGGCTTTATAGGCTAAAGCCAGCACTTTGAACTGTGCTCGGTAGCAGACAGGCAGCCATTGGAGCTGGCATAACAGAGGGGTTGTGTGTTCCCTGTATCCCTCTCTGGTGAGCAATCTGGCTGCTGCCCATTGGAGCTTCCAAACAGTCTTCAAAGGCAACACCACTTAGAGCTCATTGCGGTAGTCCATTCTGGATGTAACTAGAGCGTGGACTACAATCACAATTAATGTAATTGTGATTATAGAAAACATGCATTTGGCTAATTTCTCTGAAAGAGCAAGCTGACAGTTTTGCAGGGAGAAAGGTTCTGGTACATGATTTCCATGTGTCTCATATTATGTTATACATGTTTTTATGTACAGCTTGTAAATGGGCCTATTTGATTTTTAAAAAAATATATCAATTTGTAGGTGGTATGTACTTGCTCTCTGTGATGCATATTTGCGTAAAGGATTTGCTCATTGTTGTGCCAGACAAAATGTTAAGCTTATTACATGCTACAGTGCTTTTTTCAAAAGGTGTTAAGTTTGGGGGGAAACTGCCTAGTTTCTCTTTGTGTAACAACTCTTCTGTACAGCATGCAGCAGTTGCTGCTTTCTGCTTTGAGTTTTGATCTAAAAATAGTATAAAGCAAATATGATCATTCCTTGATAATATCCCTTCTTTAATCATTATAGAAATAACGACACAATTCTAGTAAGTCTAAAGTCTATTTACAGTTCTAATATAGCCATGTTTCCTTACTACTTTCTTTTTTTCCTTACAAAAGAGCTATCAAAAAAACTGTGCTGGCCTTAGGAAGGGAGAGCGAGCTACAGAAAGCACAGCGACAACACGCTGGTGGTTGTAGAGGTATGACAAGAACTGATGTATTATAAAAAGCTTGTGTCACAATTTTACAAAAATGGATTCTATCTCTGTCTCCCTTTATTCATATAGAGAAGATTTAAATAGACATTGTGATTGAAGTCAAAAGATTGTGTGAACCTTAATGTATTTGACTGATAAAGTTATTGGCAACTTGTTCCAATGTAATGCAGGCCTGAATGAATTCTATCCAGTACAAGATTACACATGTATGTGTTTGTTTAGCCTTCACAGATTTGATTATTCTCAGATTATTTACTGCCATCTCCACGACTGCCATATGCAGTTTTTTCTAAACAGGGACTTCAATTGCACTAGGATCCATCTTGAGCTGCATTCAGTTAAGGCAGGCTTAGGGACCTTCCACACAGTCGTATACGTAACCCAGAATATGAAGGCCAAATAACCCACAATTATCTGCTTTGAACTGGGATATCAGTCCACACTGCCATGTATCCCAGGTCAAAGCAGATCATGTGGGATTTTATTGAGTTGTGTGGAAGGGGCCTTAGTCAGTGGTCAAACTTTGGTCTGGGGAGGAAATCAAACTGAGTATGGCCATTTGCATGTTCCCTTACCTGCCCAGCATTTACTTGGCTGGGTGGAGAGAAGGGAATGGGATTGGAGTGAGGACACATCTGCTTCTTTGAGTGCTATTTCTGAGAGAAAGGAAGGATATAAATAAGATAAAGTCCTTCTTATGTGCAGTGCAGTCCTCCAGACGTTGGATGCAACCCTCAGCAAGTGTGGTTGATAATAAGGAATGCTAGGAATTGCAATTAAACAACATACAAAAGGCTGCTTCCCATTTTGCAAAGCAGATGCAAAGATCCTTTACTAATGTGCATACCTTTTCCATTTGGTTTAGAATATCCTCATTCATTCTTGTTAGCATACAGCAATCGCAAACGAGAGACTTCCAAGTCATCTTGTTATCATCAGCTCTGTTCAGATCTTCCAAACACAATGATATGGTTGAGTTGTTGTTGATTCACGGTTGACTTGTTCATGGTTGAGTTGTCCACCTCGTGGTATGGGGGCTTGCATGTTCCAATGAACCTGCGGGTGCAACCACTGGTCATGCACTCCAAGGAGTGGCCGCAGGAGAGGTTCCAGACCAAGCACAATACGGAACCCCAAAGACCTCAACGGCGGAGCAGATGGAGGATAACATGGTACATGTTACAACAGCTATGAAGGTGGAAGAAGGCTGCAACAGATTGAGAAGCCACAGTCGTTGTGTTAATTATGCCACTAGATGGGACCTCACTCTGTGAAGATGCTGTGCATCAACTGCCACACATTTAAAAAACTCATGCACAGGCGTCTTCCAAGAAAAATAAAAACAAACCAACCTTGAGCACTCTAGCTGGAGATCAGCTGTGACCAGCAGTGCTGTAGAATTTGAAGAGGCACAAATGGAGGGCGAAAGAGAAATGTGTCAAGAGGAAGGCACATCAAGCCAACCTCGACTGGGACCGCCTTCCACCTGAAAACCAATGCCCTCACTGTGGGAGAAGATGCAGATCAAGAATAGGGCTTCACAGTCACCTACGGACCCAAAACCAGTACACCGACCTTGGAAGACTCTCCTACTTGGACAACAAGGGATCGCCTAAGTAAGTAAGTTCTTGCTTTGAGTTGATTTGTTTATTGATTTGTTTACATATTCCTGTCGGCATTGAATGTTTGCCATTGTGTATTTTGTTGTGAGCCGCCCATTCATTCATTCCATTTCATTGCTCTATCTATCTATAATGCTGTCTCTTTCTTTTCTTACTGTTTTCTACCTTGCCAAGCATTGTTGACTTTTTCTGAGTCATGATCCATCTTCAGTATGACATCTCAGTTTAGCCACTTTAGCTTCTTGTGACAGTTCAGGCTTCATTTGTCATTTTGGGAGTTCATAGTATCTGTAGAACTCTCTTCCAGCATCACATTTCAAATAAACTGATTAATGTCGATATCAGAGCTTCCCAAACTTGTCATGTTAGTGACACGCTTGTTAGACATGCATCCTTTTGCAACATGGTATGGACTTTTTTCCCTTTACACTTCTTACGTACTAAAGTTCTTGCATAGTTTCCTCTGTAGCCGCACCATGTGATTTATCACAAACATCAGTGTCAACAGATTTTCTTTTTTTAATTACAAACTTATCAATTTTAGTGGTAATTATTGCAAGTCAATCAACAAATTGTGCAAATAATGAACGTTTCTAACTTGAACAACACCAGCACTCTACTTCTGTAGTGACAAAGCCTCTCTGGAGGTTTTTAAACAGAGACTTGATGGCCATCCAGGGGTGCTTTAACTGTGACTTTCTGCCTAGCTGAAGGGGGTTGGACTAGATGCCCTTTGGGGGTCCCTTCTTCCTCCTTGTTCTCTTCAGCACGGCTTTTGTAGGGGCAGGAGTGGAGGGAAACATTTTTCAGGCAACAAACCTAGGGACTGCAGGCAACACACAAGTGTGTTCCGACATACAATTTGGAAAGCTGTGTCCATACAATTGCAAAGTGAATGTCCTTAGACTTATTAATGTCTTAATTATTAATGTCTTTAAGAGCCATGTCGGATCAGAGGTTTAAGGCAATACAGGAATGGGATAATGTGTTGTATCTTTGCCAGTCACACGCGATCGTCATTCTCATTTCAATTTGGCTTTTAGAAAAAAAGGATATTGGAACCATGTAAAGGGTAAATTGTCAGCAAGTGCTTTTTTTGTATTACACATTCCATATGCATGGGCATCACTTTCTAAATGAAATGGAATGGAATGAATAAAAACAGTTTCACTGGAATCTTGTACTATCATTTCGACAAAGAATATTGATTTGTAGTAGGTTCAGGAGGGATGAATGCACCTGCAATTTGCTTCCCTAAAATATTGTTATGATGTCCATTAGTTGTGTATGACTTCACAGTGTCTGTTGACATATGATAAGCCCATGCAGTTCACAAGATTTTCTTAGGCAAGGAATGCTGTATATACTTGTGCAGAACTCTAGAATTTTTACTCAAAAAACGACTCCAGAAAACTGGGTTGACTTAAGTAAAGGTAAAGGTTTTCCCTGACATTAGGTCTAGTCATGTCCGACTCTGGGGGGTGGTGCTCATCTCCATTTCTAAGCCGAAGAGCTGGCGTTGTTCGTAGAGACACATCCAAGATCACATGGCCAGCATGACTGCATGGAGTGCCGTTACCTTCCCACAAAAGCAGTACCTATTCATCTGCTCACATTTGCATTTTTTTGAACTGCTAGGTTGGCAGAAGCTGGGGCTAACAACGGGAGCTCACCCCACTCCCTGGATTCAAACCTCCAACCTTTTGGTCAGCAAGTTCAGCAGCTCAGTGGTTTAATCTGCTGC